GCTTCCAGCTCCTCCTGTTTGCTGCCCATGCTGTGTGCATTGGTGTAGATGCACTTGAGCTGGGCTATCGATTTCACCCCCGGCATTGGTATGCTACCCTAGGCTCATCTCTAGTGAGCCTGGTTTTATCCCCTTCCCCCTTCGAACCTAGTTTAAAGCCCTCTCAATGAGCCCGCCAATTCAGGAGTGAAGTTAGCTTTGCTGTAGCTATCTCAGGAACAGCATGGACCACTATGCAATGTGCACTGGCTCCCTTAGATTAGGCATTTAACCAGCTAGCCCACAATAGACCCATGCAACTTTTTTTTTTTTTTTAATCTAAGGGCAGTCCTGGTGTTTTTTCATGGAGCATAATATAGAGGTGACACTAGAACTAGATGCAATATACGTGCATCAGCATCAACTCATAGAATAATTTAGTTTGGAAGGGACGTCTGGAGGTCATCTAGTCAAACACCCTGCTCAAAGCAGGCTTAATTAGATCAGGTTGCTCAGGGATTGGTCTAGTTGATTCTCGAACACCTCCACACAAACTTAACAGCTCTGCTTAGAGGTAGAATTTAGAGATTCGGGTTTAACAGAGCTATGGAGAAACCACATTGATTTGTGAGCTAAGCTAGCATGTCTAGATGGTTTTGCATGACACTCTCTGGCTGTCCCAGTGAAAGCTGACAGTAGTTCAGAAAGCTCTGTCCTATGCTCCTGTGTTTTGTGTAGTATGAGCATGGTAATTGAACATGCTGAACATGAACGGTTAGCTTAACGCTGGGGCAGGCATTGCCTATGCTTGCTGCATGCACACCTTAAACTACTGTACAGATACGCCCTGGAGGATTCTGCTGATATAATGAAACTGGAAAAGATGCATCAGTAAAACCTACTGATTGGAACTGAGCCATACCTACATATCTGATAATAGTTTGGGGAATCATAAGAAACATTCATTTGATGGTTGATCTGCATCTATTTTAAAGTGCTTCTAGGGCCTTGCTAAGTCCGGATGCAGCCTGGGTTTAAAGTGAATGTGGCCACACCGTATCATCTGGGAGCACACACTGCATTAACCTGTAGTACTGAGGAAGCTAATTTTCCATTGTCCCAGGAAATATGTGCCTAGACTTTACGTTAGTAAAAAAATATGTGGAAAACCTCACCCTCAAATGACCTAGTTATGCTGATAAGATGTTAATGTAGATGTATTTATATTGGCAAGAAGTCTAGCTTGTCCCTTTACCTACCAGATCATTGTTCATCCCTTCATATGCATTTCCTGGGTCCACAAACAAGCTTTTGATCTGACTGGACATCTCACAAAGATGAGGTCTGTGTGCACAGGCATGAACCAGGCTCGTACAATGAGCTTGTAAAACTGCTGCTAGCTTTATTCCCTCCTTTTAGTTGCAATGTATAATCTATCCCATTGCACTGCTGCTTCTTTCAATCTTGAAAGAACTATAGAAACATCTGGGCTAATGTCGTGGTTTAACCTCAGTTGGCAACTGAGCACACACAGCCGCTCGCTCACTCCCCCCCTCCCCGGTGGGATGGGAGAGAGAATTGGAAGAGTAGAAGTGAGAAAACTCGTGGGTTGAGATAAAAACAGTTTAATAATTGAAATAAAAATAAAAATAAAATAAT